TGACTTGGAAACTTTTCAAAAATGTCATACTTTGCCTTTAAAGGTAAAGGTAAAGGTAAAGGCCCTCCCGTTGTTCGTCGATTTGCTCGAGCGGGCCCAGTAACGTCTCCATTGGAGATTTTGTTGTTACTGTGTTTGGCATATCGAATACGTCACGGGGAGTTTGCCAGGCTCTGCCATGCGGGCAAGATACTCTCGGTAGCTTGCCTTTAAAATGTAAGTAAAATGTCCACCCCGTACTCCATGTCCTGAAGTTTTCTAACAGTCAAAGCTAGACCAGAGGAGAGGAGGAGATGTCTGGCATGGTGTAAGGATTCTGGTTGCAAAATTCACCTTTGATTCCTTCTGGTTATTTACAGCTTTGTTTTTCAAGATCATGTTTTGGGTTTTTTTGGAGGGGGAATTAGAGTGGCAGGAATGGGGCTCCCCAGGGGGGCTGGGTGCCTCCAGGTGTGCTCAGGGAGGTCATGCGGTGCCAGGGATGGAACCCAGGCCCCTGTGCTCTAGGCGGGCATGCACGACAGCCCTTTGAGCCTGCTCCCATGTCCAGGATCACCTTTTCCTATTTTCCATTACTGGAAGTTCCAATGGTATTTCAATTATCACTTGATCACTTGACTTCCCATTAATCATCGATTTGCTTGAGCGGGCACCAGTAACGTCTCCATTTGTCCCTGTCGTGTGCTAGTGTAGCCCAGTGGCGTCTGTTCATTCTAGGAACACGAAGAGCTTCAAACTGATCGTTCAGGGTCTTGATGAAGAAGTCAGACCATCTGGTAGGTGGGCGACCACGCCATCTTTTGACATCCTGCGGAATACAGTCGGTAACGGCTCTAGTCCAGCAGTTGTCTCCAAATCTCATTAAGTGTCCAACCCATCTGATTTTCGACACCTTGGCAAACGAGACAGCGTCCCTGATTCTTGATCATCAACGGAGGTCAGAACTCCGGATTCTTTCTCTCATTTGAATGAAACGTGATACTCCAAGCATAGTTCTTTCAATTCCTCTTTGGGAGACCCGAATAATGTTCTTATCCTGTTTTCGTAGGACCCAGGTCTCTGAGGCGTATGTTAATGCAGGAAGAACAGTGGAATTGAAGAGATGTGTCTGGAGCTGGAGGTTCTTCGTCCTCTTAGCTATTTCTTCAATGCTCTTGAAGACATTCCAAGCCTCTCTCTTCCTCCTGAGCAACTCAGGTGCCAGGTCATTAGTCATGTTGACTTCCCGACCTAGGTACACATAACTGTTGCATTCAGAGATATTTGTCCTGTTGAGAGTGAATGGAACGTCAGGAACGAGACCGTTTCTCATAAGCATTGTCTTTGTGAGATTCAGCTGTAGTCCGACCTTTCCACACTCAGGTCGAAGTCGGCCAGCATTTGTGCCACTTGGCTAATGTTTGGTGTGTTAGAACGATGTCACTACCTCCACTATCCAGCCGCTGCCACACTCCAGGATGCTTTCTGGATGCTTGGGCCGAGACTCACACACGACTGAAGCCCCACAGAACAAGAGAAGCGGAACTCTGAGACCTTGGACTCCAGGCTCAACAGACATGGGGACAGAGATTCTCCACTTGCTCCCACCAACCACAGGTGACAAAGGGACTAAAACCAGGAGCCCCACCCTAGCCTGCCCTGTCTGCTTCCACCAACCGCCAGAGACCCAGGGATTGGATTATGAACAGAAGACCCACCTACCCCTACATGTACCAGATAAATACCTCACTGACAGACCTCCACTACCTCCACTACCCAGTTGCCGCCACGCTCCAGGACGCTTTCCGGACACATTATAACACACCTAATACCCATCTTCCAGGATTGCCGCACCATATTTGGTAGGGTTGAAATATGGTTTGTACCATGGGAACACCTACAAGGGCAATTAGAGGCTGCCCCAAAAGCCTCTATCCCTCTCAGAGAGCCTAGCAAGCTACCGAGAGTATTCCGCCCCCAAGGCAGAGCCTGGCAAGCTATCCGTTGTGTATTCGATATGCCAAAACCAGTAATTACAATGGGTCTCATTCCCCTGACCCTGAAGGAGTCACCAATACGGCAGCGTTGAGAATGATGAGGAAGGAGAGGCTGATAAAATCTCAAGGCCGAACTAGGCTGCCCAAACGAAGAAAGACAAAATTGATTGTCTGTACTTTCAATGCATGAATGTTGGCATCAGGTGCATCCATTGAGGACCTGATGGTACAAGCGCAAAAGATGAAGTACGACATCATTGGTCTGACTGAGACAAGAAGGCATCAATCACATCACGCCATTTTCGACACTGGAGAAGAACTGTTCCTCGGAATATGTGATAAAAGTGGCGTCGGAGGTGTTGGTGTCCTTGTCAACACAAACAAGGCCATGAGCATTGATTCATTCAAATGCCTAATAACCCAAATCAGACGATTACACTTGAATAGATGTGGCTCACTGCCGGCAGTTTCTATCTTCGTTGTCTATGCACCAACATCCAATGAAGGAGAAATTGAGAAGTTCTTCATGAAGCTGGAGAAGTTCTATAAAGAAGACCACACCTTCTACAAGATTATTGTTGGTGATTTTAATGCCAAGATAGGACCGAGAAGATCAGTCGAGGAACTCCATGTCGGGACCCATGGCCTAGAATGGAACGAACAGGGTGACAGACTAAGTTCATCATGTCGACCAAGACCATCCATGGTAACTCACAGCTCCAGAAGGCCGAATCTAAACGTTGGACATGGGAGTCTCCCAGTGGACGGTTCCACAATGAAATTGACCACATCATATTCAATCAATGGTTTTGCCTGACTGATGTCGCTGTTGTCCCAAAATTCCAAATGGGATTGGACCACCATCTCCTTTGTGCAAAATTCTACTTCACAGAGCAGGGAGAAAGGGCTGTAGAGTTTAAGAAGAGAACTCCCAGAATGACCACCAACTGGGAGCTCTTTGACACTATTGCTGCAACATGGGAAGATGCCGTCGTTGACAACATTGATGAGGAATACGACCAACTGGTTCAGTACCTCCATGATTGTGCGAGGAATGCCAAGAGAGAGATAGCCACCAAAAAAAAAATGCCTGTCTCCAAAAACTCTTGAACTTATTCGCAAACGTAATTTGGCGCATGCCTCAGGCAACCACAAGTGAACATCCGAGCTTGCAAAGCAGTGCAGAGATGCGATAAAGGAAGACCTCAAAGAGAGAAGAGCAGTAGTGCTGGTAGATGCGGCAGGAGCCAGGAAAAGCATTCGTCATGCCCGCCTGTCATTGCCAACTTCAAGACCAAGATGACTACCCTCCGACATCCTGATGATCTATTGCATCTTCCAGAAGGGCAATGGAGAAGATTATCCATGACTTCTACTCAGGTCTCTTTGATAGACACGTCCACCTGCCCACATACCAAATTCCACAGGATGGATATGTTGTTCCCAACGTTCTCCCTTCTGAAATCTGACACGCCATTTCGTCGGTAAAGAAATGAACAGCACCCGGCCCAGACAAGGTCAGACCTGAACACCTGAAGAACCTGCTATCAGTACTCATCAATACGCTGGCTCGGGTCTTCACACGCTACCTGTCTGAATGCAAGGTTCTGTCCCAATGAAAAACCAGCAGGACTGTACTACTGTACAAGAAGGGAGACATCCATGACATTGGCAACTATTGCCTGATCTGCCTATTGTCTGTCATCTACAAGCTGTTCACTCGAGTCATCCTGAATAGGATTAGCAGAACACTAGATGAAGGACAACCATGCGAGCAAGCCGGGTTCTGCAAAGGATTCAGCACCATTGACCATATCCACACGATAACCAAGCTCATTGAGGTTTCTCTGGAGTTCAAGATGCCGCTCTGTCTAACATTCATTGATTTAAAGAAGGCCTTTGATTCTGTTGAGACGGAAGCGGTCATGGAAGCCCTAGCTAATCAGGGCATTCAAACTCAATACATTCAGGATCCTCTGTGAGCTGTATTATGGATTCACTACCAGGATCTCACCATTCTACAGGGAAGTGATCATTGATGTCAAGAGAAGGGTTTGGCAGGGTGATACCATTTCACCGAAACTCTTCAGTCCCACCCTCGAGAACGTCATGTGATGACTGGAATGGGAAGGAATGGGAGTGAAGATAGATGGTCAGCAACTATACCACCTCCACTTTGCTGATTTCAATTATCTTCTCAATAAATTTTTCAGGTAAGGCTTTGAGAAAAGGGGCTGGAGTGATAGCACAGCAGGTAGGGAGTTTGCCTTGCATGTGGCTGAGCTGGGTTTGATTCCCAGCATCCCATACGGTCTCCCAAGCACTGCCAGGAGTAATTCCTGAGTGCAGAACCAGGAGTAACCCCTGTGAGTTGCTGGGTGTGACCCAAAAGGAAAAGAAAAGACCTTGAGAAAAGATTGTCAAATATTCTGCGATGTGTGTCAGATCCCAAAGAACAACCCACTAATAGGTATTGTCGCTGTCTTGACATGAGGTAGGTTTGCAGGAGTGGGACTCTCCATCCCCCGGAGTGGGAAGCATGATGAATGGATTAAGTTTTCTTTTCCCATTTCTCTGTTGACAGAAAAGCAAAAACAAACAAAAATCATTAATTGCAAAAATGCCTACAAAAATGAGTAATGCAATGAGTTTCTTACGAAACACAAGTGTTTCATGAGAAAGACTATAGAAGGCCTGAGAGATACAGCCAGCTGAGCACATGGTTGGTATGCTGAAGGCCTGTTTGGATCCCCAGTGCCAGTGGGTCCCCTGGCACCACCAAGAGTGACCCTAGAGTACAGAGCCAAGGAGTAGCTCCTGAGCACTGCTGGGTGTGACCAAAAACAAAAAGAAGGCAAAGAAAGACTATTTAAGTCTAACTCTGAAATTGACAGCTTACATAATCACTATAATGCAGCATACGACACATGACAGATGTTGAGTAAAATTGATCAGTTAATGCATCTAGAGAATGGATATGTTTGATTGTTCTAGGGAAGCAAACAAACAAAAAAATAGGCTTTAATACTTAATTGGCTGGGGGAATCCATGGTCACGAAGGGGATGTTCCCAGGGCAAAGCTTATCCATTCCACTCTGGAGGTGCTGACTGCTGCACTTCCTCAAAGGTGGGAAAATAGGCAGCAGAGTTTGTAGTAGGGGACTGTGTTCATGCTCTCCTCTGAAGGAAAATGAAAGACCTTTATGTAAGTTTCAATCGTATATGAGTCATAATGCCATTTGGAAATACATATGAGTCTAGACAGAAGATGGAATATATACATAAAAAAAAGTCCAAGAAAGAAAAGATAATGAGATACCACATCATGTCAATAGTAAGGGGTAGAATAGTACAAATTTTAAATGCACAAAAATATGAAATAATTCAGTGACTGTCACAAAGCAAATCACAGGGGGATTTTAAAAAGAGGAAGCAGGGGCTGGAACGATAGCACAGTGGTTAGGGCGTTTGCTTTGCACGCGGCTGACCCGGGTTTGATCCCCAGCATCCCATATGGTCCCCTGAGCACCGCCAGGAGTAATTCTTGAGTGCATGAGCCAGGAGTAACCCCAGTGCATCGTCGGGTGTGACCCAAAAAGCAAAAAAAAAGGGGGGGGGAAGCAGAGGTTGGTTTGACAATACAGCAGCTAGGGCATTTGCCCTGCATTATTGCCAACCGGGTTCAATCCCCACCACCTCATATGTCCTCCCTAGCACCACCAGGAGTAATTCCTGATTGCAGAGCCAGGAGTAACCCTGAGCCAGGTGAGGTTCCCCACCACCACCACCACACACACACTCTCACACACACACACACACACACACACACACACACACACACACAGAAAGAGGAAGCAAGGAAAAATATTTGAATTGGTAAATATAATCCCAATTAGATATGAAAAAAGTTTGCATAAATGATGTGTTCATAAACAAACTATTTATGAAGTCAGATCTAGGAATACAATCCTGTTGGCTGAGAGGAGTCAAAATACAAACCCTTGTTCAGATGCGTTTCACTTTTGGCTGCTGGGCTGAGGTTCTCATAGTGAGGAAGGAATCCTGCCACTGTTCAACTTTTTCTGGATTCAGGGGGATGCTCTTATTTCCCACCTGCCCCAGGTTGTAGTACATCCTTTTTTTCACCCCCTTTTTTATTGATTCACACCATGAGATACAGTACAAAACTTGAGTTTCGATCATACAATCATCAAACACCCATCTATTCACCAGTGCACATTTTCACATTTTTCACTACCAAAATCCCCAGTATCCTCCCCAACCCCGCATTCCACTCCTTCCCCTGCCTGTGTGACCGACAATTTGCACAATACTCTCTCTATGGTTACATTCGATATTTCGACACCAGTCCCACCACCACTCAAACCTGCTGAAAATGCAATGCTAAACAATTTGTTTTGTATTGCTTGTCATGGATAAAATATAATGTGGCACGGACGCGCACTCTGAGAGCTCTAAAATTTTAATAATTAGCGTCTGGAGAGATCTCTTCAGGGAGCTACTTGGTTCCGAGACTCGTGTGTGTCTCCGGATCATGACCATATGGGAGCTTAAGTAGCCAGTGGCCGATTGTGGGCTTCGTCTCAGAGTCCCATCGGCCAAGGGAAGGAGAAGGGCGGATCCTCCCCTGTCCCATGAGGCCTGGCATTTCCCACCACTGCCACCATGTACCTGTAATTTTTGTTGAGTTCTAGAAGATGGCAGCCGCCAGGATTCCTAGGGGGTGGGGGAAGGGACAGCACCTGCTCCCATCTGGAGTGGCCCCGTGAAAGTGGCCTATTGCAAGGTCTGGAGGCATCTCTGCAGCCAGTTGCTCGCTTCCGAGATTCATGTGTGTGTCCCGTAGTACACCTTTTTGTACTTTTTTTTTACTTTTTTTGTACTTTTTTTTTTACTGTGGGAGCCACTCTTGTGGTACAAGTGGCCAGACCCACTCCTGAAGGCCCTAGGGCCACCCCAGGCAAAGCTGGGAACCCCAGCAGTGTTGGGGCCTCGCCCCAAGTCAGGCATGCACCTCACCCCTTGAGTCACACCCCCAGACCCCTGTTTGTGCCTTTGTAGGTGAAATTTTTTTTAACAGTTGTGTGTTTCCTTTTGATAGCTATGCACTTGAATACTTCCCTGTCTCCCTTGCTGGCCTTTTAGGATCTTGTAAATAGGTACAATGTGTTTCTCAGGCTTCAGAGGAAGGAAAAAGCAGAGACACTGATCCCTGCTCTTTGCCATCCCCAGCATGCAATCCATCTGTGGGACACCACAACCAAGTGTCGGGGATCCCCTACCCTCCTCATTGCGACAACAACAGCAACAAAAGGAAGGGAAGGTGAAAATCAAGTTTCTGAGCTTCCCAGAGCTGCTGGGGGGCTGGTGGTGTTGAATTCCAGGGGTACATCACCAATGCCGCATCTGTCCCTTCCTGATTGATGTCCTCATTCCTCCCCACCCCACCCCCAGCTCATTTTGCTTGCGGACTCACCCCACTTCCCTTCATTTTTAGGGGATTTTCTTGGGGGCATGTTCTGGTGAGTTCATGCCCAAACTTGACTTCTTTCGCAGTGAGGAGACTCAGCCGTCCTGTGTGGTTCTCCTTATCCCAGAAATGCTGAGCCTCTGGACTGTTGCAGAATCCTGAATCTCTCTGTTTCTGTTTGTATTTGATTTTATAGATCTAATCACTGAATCTTTTAGGGAACTTCCTTCCTGTTGCATGGGAACCGCCCTGGCTATGGAGCTACGATTTAAGAGGTGCCTGAACTTTGGTGCTGGTCAGAGGACAGTTGGTGTTTGAATTGCTAGTCAAACCTCCTGGGCTCTCCTATGGCCTTAGGTTCTAGATGCCTCACAATTGGTGCTGGATGACGGGCTCATTTTTGCCAAAGAGACAGTACGTGTGGCCCATTGGGGCATTTGAATCAAATGAGGGAGGGCTGGCTACTCACGGACTAGTCCTGTTTTGAGCTCTGGATGGCTAAAATTTTTTGGCTTTCTTGGTCTGTTTTTTTTCTTCCCAGTCCCAAGCTGTGCTCATCTCCATAAAAGTATTTTTTTTTTGAAACAACACTTTGATAAAGTTTTTCCACTCTCAGTTCCTGAGCTCTGATAGATAGAAAGTCAGGCCAAGCATCAGGTGTGGACAAGCTTCTACTGAGTCCTGGAGGAGGAGCGGCAGGAGAGTAATGGGAGGAGGCCATATTCAGGACTTAGAGCTGAGGGAACATTCCGTCTCGGCTCTAATTCCGCAGGCAGCTTCAAACCAGGCAGCTCCTTCCTGGACATGACCTTCTCCCCCTGGAAACTAGGAGCCTCTCGAGGTAGCTTCTGACATGCCTTGCTGATCTGTGATCCTGTGGCGCTTTCTGTTTGGCTGTGTGGCTAAAGTAGGTAATAATGCCAGATCTTTATACACAAAGTATGGATTTCAAAAAAATGGGGATAGGCTGATCAGACTCCCACTACCCAGTCTGTGGGGACAGCAATGGGGCAATTTGGAGGTGACTGGTTTGCTGATGGCCCTAATATAACAAACAGCTGCAACTCATTTTCATCTGACTGTGATCAACTTGGAGCTTCCAGATCTGTGACAAGGCTTAGGTGGATTTCTGTGTTTGATGTTGGGGACATCTTCATTTTCGATCCAGTGGATGGATTTGAACTATTTTTGTCAGGGAAACTCTCCCTCTTTTTTTTTTTTTTGAGGGAGATTGTACCCTGCAGTGCTCAAGGGCTCATTCCTGTGCCCAGGCTCTGTACTCAGGGGTCATTTTTAGCAGTACTCAGGGAGACAATATGCAATGCTAGTGTCGCCTTCAAGTAAGCAAGTGCTTTACCCCCTTTTCTTCTGGCTCCAGGAACCTCCCTCATAAAGCCTCTCAAAGGAGCTGGAATTTCCCCCTCTGCCACGGACTGCCTGATAGTAGCTGAGGTGAACATGACAAGAGAAAGGTTAAAAGTCACCAAGCGCACAGATGGCCGTGCTGGAGAACTGCCCACAGGTTTCTTGCTTTCAATCAACAGGAGTTTTTTTTTTCTTTTTTTTTAAAAAGCACTATCACCCCAGCGCCACCTCCCCCAGGCTGCTGTCCCCATCAGTGACTTCCCTCTGATTTCAACCTCACAGGCCTTCTAAGTCCTTGGGGTTTTTCAACCTTTAAAAACATTCACACATTTGCTTGCAAGGTGGGACGGGCGGTGGTGTTTCAAATTCATTGCTCAGCGGAGACTCCCTGACCCATGCCCTTCCATGTCTAGTGATGGGGTCACTGATGCAGAGGGTTTCATGAGTTCAGAAGTATGTACTGGGCCCCTGCAGCATGCCAGGTACTATCTAGTTCTGGGAATACAGCAGAGCTGTTTATCTTTGTCTTGATTGTCACTTAACAATTACTTATCATTTCCATCTCCCAGATTCTTCCCTGTTCTGTTTATTTATTAGTTTATTTGATTTTGGGGCCACACCCAGTGATGCTTGAGTTTTGTGCCCTGGCTCTGTACTCAGAGATTACTCTTTTAAACAATTTTTTTTATATTGAGTCACCATGAGATACACAGTTGCAAAATTGTTCCTGATGTATTTTCAGTCATTCAATGTTCCAGACTGTGTCCTTTCACCAGTGTACATTTTCCACCATCAATGTCCCCAGTTTCCTGCCCACCACCATCCCCCCGACCTGCCTCTAAGGCAGACACCCCCGCCCCCTCTTTTCCTTTTTTCCTTTTAGCTACTGTGGTTTGCAGTACTGTTACTGAAAGGTTATCATTCATTTACCTTACCTCTGTTCAGAACTCAGTTCTTGTCCAGAGGGATCATTTCCAGTTATCATTGTCATAGTGGTCCCTTCTCTGTCCTAACAGCACTCTCCCTCCTCCTCTGTGGCAAGCCTCCTACCATGGACCAGTTCTTCTGGCCCTTGTTTCTACTGCTTTGGGTATTATTCTCATGCTGTTTTTTTTTTTTATATCCACAAATGAGTGAAATCATTCTCTTTCCCTCTGACTCATTTCACTCAGACGGATACTCTCCATGTCCATTCATGTATAAGCAAATTTCGTTACTTCATTTTTCTTGGGGGCTCTATAATATTTTATTGTGTAGATGTGCCATAGTTCCTTTATCCACTCATCTGTTCTTGGGCACTTGGGTTGTTTCTAGATCCTGGCTGTTG